TCCCAGGGCACCCGGTTATCCCCTCTCCCCCCCCCCCAGCTCTGCTCCCGAGGGGGGGCAGCTTCAGGCCAGGGCTGTATTTTGAAATTTCCAGATTGTCTTTTCCGATGATATTTCCTTGAAATGCGTCCAGTGAGCTGATTAGTCATGTAAATAAAGAACGATGGCAGGACTCTGCGTCTGGCATTAGGGTGGACTGGAGAGGGATGAAAAGGCTGCCCTTTTTCTTGTCATTTTATGGTTTTTCTTTCCCCCTGTGAGGAGCATGTCCCTCTCCTGAGCTTGCCAGGGAGCTGGGGGAAACTGGGAACCCAACCTCGTTTGTCATTAGGAGCGTCCTGCCTGCCAGCTTCTGTAGGATAAACCATATGTTGTCACAACACTATTTTTAATTTAGGGTGTTGGTTACATCACATCCCAGAATTGGGCAATCTCTGGATGAGGACGGAGGTAATTACTGTACCGGGGTTTATCAACTTGTGTTTTAATGAGTGTTTATCAGCATTATGAGAAATCAGTTGCAATAAGTGCCTTGGATGGACTGAGTTATTAGCTTTTTTTCCCTCTGAAAAATTAAAATCATCTGAAGAAATGCTTTTCTATAGATTAGGGAAGCCTTCTCTTTTGGGGGAGGGCAAGTAGGAGGGCCACAAGCAGCTGTGTTAAATATTTTGGGAAGCTATTCTGAGTCCGTGTCACACATGAATAGTGGTGTTTATTTTCTAAATGAATTCTGGTCTCGAGATTGTTTGGTGGCCAACGGCCACTAATGAACTTTGCTTCCTTCACCGCCACCCAAAAGAGAAATAGTCAAAGGCTCCTGGTGATTAAATGGGCAGGAAAGGATAAGGGCAGAAGAGCTGGCTTGTTTGTAGAGTGAATAACGCAACAATTAGTGGGCTATTAAACACATATGCTCATTCTGCATTTGTTCTATAAACAGTTTCTCCAGCTTGTTGGATGTCTCTGCTTCCTCCGAAGCGCTCGATGCCGCGAAGAGAATTTCTCACTCACCTTGGGAGCGCGTGTTTGGCTGGTCTGGGCCTTGCTTTAGTTTTGCTTTGCAGTAGGTAAATGGACAAAAAAATAATACTAAGTTGCCAAAGCTGCTTCTGCTGCCTTTGGTTGGAAGTGTGGTAGAACTGAGGGCAGCGTTGTGTAATGTCTATAATGGCCTGGAATCCAATACTGTTGTTTGTGTTACCTGCAGTCTGACCTGTTTTATGCGCCTGGACAGCACGTCAGTCGGTGCCGTTTCTGCGACAAGGCTCTGTCCCTCTGCCAGAACAGGCAGGGTAATGTCTTCAGTTGCTTGCTTGAGTTTGTTCTTGGGCTAAGAATAATGTATTGGGATTACATAATCCAGAAATGATCACCCAGCCGGGCGAGCTGCCATTTGTTTTTAGTGTCCCTTGTGCCAGAGCAGTTGTGTTCTTGGTGTGGAGCATGTGTGGATCAGGCAGCAGGACTATGGAGAAATGGTATTTGCTTGAGTCTCCTCTGCTAAATTGGCCATGTTCTGGTTGATAAGAGAGGGCTCCAGGGAGACCTGAGAGCACCTGCCAGTACCTGAAGGGGCTCCAGGAAAGCTGGGGAGGGACTGTTCAGAAGGGCAGGGAGTGAAAGGACAAGGGATAATGGATTAAAACTGGAAGAAGGAGATTTAGGTGAGACGTGAGGAAGAAATTCTTCACTGTGAGGGTGGTGAGACCCTGGCCCAGGTTGCCCAGGGAAGCTGTGGCTGCCCCATCCCTAGAGGTGTTCAAGGGCATCTTGGATGGGGCTTGGAGCAACCTGGGCTGGTGGGAGGTGCCCATGCAGGGGGTTAGATCTTGGTGATCTTTGAGGTCCTTTCACATCCAAACAATTCTATGATTCTATTATATGCTTCTGTGCTGAAGAAAACAGCACATTCATGCCCAGTTCCGTGTGTCAGGAAACTGTATCATGTCTAGAGAACGTGGAGCTGCTGGTCCAGAGGTGCAGATCCCCGGGGCTGCCGGTTCCTTGTGGGCCATGAAGGGATTTTTTTTCTCCAGTAGCAGAAGATTACACTCACCTGAAAGAAATGCAGCCTTAACAATAACCCCGACTTCATAGGGGACATGTTAAGATGTCACCCATAAGCTCCTTGTGAAACTTGCTGCCCCTGAAACTGCTTCCAGGCAGTTGTGAAACCACCAGCCCTGACTGCTGAGCTCTGCAGCTGAAGGAGAACGTGTCCCGAGTCAGTTTGTCCACTGAGGAAATGGAGCCGGTCTGGTGTGTGAGCCTAAAACAACTCCTGGTTCTCCAAGGAGTCTGATTCTACGTTAGCTGGCAGTTTTCTGTGTTCCCTTCGGGTGTGTGTGCAAGTTCTGTTCAGGCCTTCCAACCCCCCAAAAATACAGGCCATGACTTTTCCCCATCTCTTCTAGTCTGCTCCAGCTTCCTTGCTGCCCGTGTCGAGTCACCAGGGTACTCCTCATGCCCCTGCCTTCTTCAATCTTTATCCTCAACCCCATCTTTCACTCTTGGTAATGGGATGTTGTGCCTACCCTCACCTAATACATCCAGCTCCATCTCCATCCATGG